CCCGGCCTGGCCAGGCCCCGCGCTATGGAGTTTCTCTGGGCCCCTCTCTTGGGTCTGTGCTGCAGTCTGGCCGCTGCGGATCGCCACACCGTCTTCTGGAACAGTTCAAACCCCAAGTAAGCCCTTAGCTTCGCCGGCGGCCCGGGCGCCTGGTGGACACTGCCTCTCTCTCTCCAGGGCAGACTACCCCGGGCCAGTCCCAGTTCCGAGCCTGGGGGAGGTGCTGCAGGCGGGAGGGAGCCTGGGCAGTTCCCTGGCCTCGCTTCTCGCCGGGAGCTGGGAGCACGCATCTTGGGACAGGAACCTGCCCGTGCCTGCTCGTCTAGCCCTTCCCTTCCTCCCTCCTGGGTCCTCTGCGTGATTACACCCTGATTGCTCTTAAACTCGGGACCCGTGCTGGGCAGTGCCCCTTGCAAGCACCAGACCACCCTCCTTGGCCTCCGAGCCCCCCACAGTGAAAACGGCTGTGCCCCTGCTGTTTGTCACTTAGGCAACTCTGCCTGCCCCGACAGACAGGTAGGTAGGTACCTGATGTGACAGTCAGAGTTCGACCCGACCGCTGGAAGGAGCACTCTAGGAGGGGAGGGGAGGGGCTGTGGCCTTGGAGCCCGCCCCCTATTCATAGTGCCTCTGCCAAGCTCCCTGGGGTTCGGTGCCTGTGGCCTGAAGGGGCCACATGCCACGTCGGGGTGGATGAAGGGATTCACCTCTTTATGAGGTTCTGGTCAGAAAAACTGAAGTGTCGGGGGCGAGGGGGTGGTCTTGGGGAAGGAGTCGGAAGACAGGAAACGGGTTCTTAGGGTTCCCGAGAGCTCGGGCAGGAAGGGGTTAATTTCTCGCGCACAGGTTTAGGGCCGGGAGGCAAATGGTACGTGGGGGCGGGGGGTGGGGGCGCTGGCTGGCTGGGGCTCGGACCCTTTGTTCTTGCCCTTGAGTTTTCCGAAGTTGAGGGAACGGTGATATTTGCGGGAAAACCGGAGACCGGAGGGGGAGGAGCTAGGCCAGGAGGGCTGGGCGGCTTGGGGTCTCCAAAAACACTTCCCTCGGCGCGCGCACCCGCTCCAGCCTGGCACGCCAGCCCCCTCCCTCCCCTGGAGAAGTCCTTAGTCAGCCCCAGCTTCCTGTGACTCTGTGGCACTGCCTGGTGAGGGGTCTGTGGCCTGTGGGAGGCCCCATCCAGCTGCCCACTCCAAAGGGCAGTGCTCTTTGCCCAGCAGGTTCTAGCGCAGCCCGGTCGGCTGTCCCTCACCCCACTCCGAGCTGTCTGTTCTCTGCTTCCTTGACCCAATCTTATCCTAGTGGGAGAGAGCAAAGTCCCTGTTTATGCCCGTGCCAGGTGTTGGCTGAAGGAGGAGGAGGGGACAGGAAGCCCTGAGGAGGGAGGGGGGACCCTGGCCTTTTCCGTTCCCAAGCTCCCAGGTTTCCTTTCTTTCAGGAAGGAGCCTCTTC